CTCAGCCCACCAGGGGGCGGGCGGGCTGTCATGTGGTGCTGGGGGATTGAACCGAGGTCCCTGTGCTTTGCTTGGCTTAGCTTGTTCTAAGTAGGTGCTTTAGACCACTGAACCATCTCACCAGCCCCCCCCAAGCATATTTTTCAAAGGATTAATTGGCCATATTTGTATTTTGCTAACAGTCTACTGTGTCCTTCACATTCTCCCTATTTATTTGTGTGTGTGTGTGTGTGTGTGTGTGTGGCCAGCTCAGCCCACCAGGGGGCGGGGCTGGCTCCATCTCACCAGCCCCTGTTCACATATTTTTACACTGACTAGCTTTTGAGTTCACCATATTACTTTTTTCTTTCAATCTTATAGTTAATTTTCATAGAGATCTGGATTTTGAAGAAATTACAGCTTTTAAGGTTTAGAATGCTTCCGTGATTGTTTTGATAGGTTTGAATTTTTAAAATTAAATTCAGTAGTGGTGCCACATACCTGTAATTCCAGCACTTGGGAGGCTGAGGCAGGAGAATTGTTTTCAGTTCTAGACCAGCCTAGGTTACAAAGTGAGCTCAAGTCCAGCCTGAACTGCATAGCGAGAATTTGTCTCGAAAAGAAAAAAAAAAAAATTCTTAACCCTTCTGTTTTCCCATATTTTAAAATACTACCTCAATACATTCATCGTGTTTATTTTGAAATTATGGTCTGGTACTAAATATTTTTTTTTTTTTTTTTTTTTGGCAGAACCGGGGATTGAACTCAGGCCCTTGCGCTTGCCAGGGAAGCGCTTATTCCACTGAGCCATCTCCCTGGTCCCTCTGGTACTAAATATCTTGTTTGTGTTTTTCCCTTGATTCTTAGCAGTATTTTCCTGTCTCTTTCAAGTCTTGGATCTTTTCTGTTGGATGTCAGTTAATATGTGTATAAAAGAAATACTGAGGGCTGGTGAGATGGCTCAGTGGTCTAAAGCACCTACTTGGAACAAGCTTGGTAAAGCACAGGGACCGTGGTTCGATCCCCCAGCACCACATGCCAGCCAGCCCTGCCCCCGGGTGGGCTGAGCTGGCCACACACACACACACACACACACACACACACACACTAAATAAATGTTTTTTTAAAAAAAGAAAGAAACATTGAGGTCCATGTGAAGTTTTTTTCTACAGAAAGGTGTCCTTCTTTTAAAATCCTTTTAAATAAATAGAAAGTAAAAGTCACATTAATAAACAAATACAAAGATTCATAATTTTGTAACATTGAGTTGCTTCAGCCATTTAACATGAAAATTCCATTCTTGTCTTGAGATATTTTGATTTTTATATAACATCATACTAACAAACATCAACATTTAATAAATTTCTGAAATGTTACATCAGCCATACAGTTAAGGCTCTTTCCTTGTCCAGTTTTATCCCTGTGTATGTGTTTGTGAACAATCAAATCTTCACTGGTTTCTCTGGTGAAGCAATAGTCTTCTGCCAGTCATCAAACCTACTTGTTAAGCTTCCAGCTGTTCCCAGAATCAGCCACACTCTCTAGATTTAACAGCAGGGTTCACGTAGAGTTGGACTTCCATAGGCTCTGTGTGTATCCCCTTCTAGCTACTCTTTGATTCCCCAAAAGCAGAGGATTTGGAAGATGTCCAGTTGTTTGTTTATTTGAGACTCTTTTGAACTGGGTTCATATTCTCTGTCTTATATCAGATTTGCAAACAACTCATAAGGAACGTACAGATTTTAAGTATTATAACTCCAGTACTGTCACTGTAGTTCTCATGACCAATAAAATTTGCCAATTTTCTTTCCCTAAACACAGATCTGGTTCAGCCAGAGTCTGGTATATGGAAAACAAGAAGGATAACAACAGTGTCCAATTGTTGACTGTTTTCCCTTTCTCTGATTTTAATGTAATTTAGTTATCATTCCATTAAATCTTTGAGCCTTAAAAGTATACTTTAAGCATCTGCTTAGGCAGAGCACAGTGGCTGGGATTCTATCCTGGGGTGCACTGAGACCATGATTGAGACTGGGTGTGGTGGCTCATGCCTGTAATCCCAGCGCTTGGGAGGCTGAAAACAGGAGGATCACTATGAGTCAGATCTACGCAGTGAGACCCTGTAGACCCTGTACTAAATACATGGAAAAAATATAACATATATAATATATTATACATATATATATATGATATATTTTTTTCAGTATGCAGAACTATTATTCATTGAACACTATATGTTACAAACGTTTTCCATTATTGCATTGAATTTTTAGAAGTTATTTAATGTTTTTGCCAAGTGTGTATTATTGCACTATAGGCAATAGAAATCTCATTGGTATCTAGTAATTAAGTCTTGAATCAGTAGTTTCAGTAAAGCCATTTTTTTCAAAATTTTATTGATAAACAGATAGCAATGAGACAGTTTCAAATCAAATCGGAAGTACAGTTTCAACAAATAATACACTGCATATATTCTTCTTAGTGGTTAATTGCTGTACAAGATGTGGACTTGTGATCCTATTTACAAACACCATTAGAACAGATCATTCTATTCATTAAGAGAATGCAACTATATATCTATCCTAACCACTTTGAATACACAGATACAAAATGGACATTCATCGGTATACCCCATTTTTTCTAAGTTTCGTTGTTGAATATTATAGGTGTGTAAACTCAGCAAAATAATCTAAAAGAGTTCAGTAGCCCATAATAGCACTGGGTCTTCTGTTTAACTGGCAATGTCAGAAATTATTGACCTGAGTCCCCCACAGCTCAACATAACAGCATGGCTTTATTTCCTATATTTCGTCTTCATACTTTTCTACTGGATGGTTAAGACCAAGGTAAAGCAGGACCTGTGCAACAAGAGTTGTAGAGTAAAGCCATTTTTAATATGTCTTGTGGGAAGTGGAACACTGCTGGATATTCTTAGGAGTCACTGAAGAATTCAGAAAGCTCAGTTTCAAACTCACAAAGAAAAACACTTGGGCATTCATACGTGCATGAAATTGTGCTAAATTTTAAATGCAAAAATGTTTAATCAAACATTACTTGCCTCTCTGAACTCAAATTAGAGAATCTTGAAATACAAAAACCAAATTTGAGAAAAAGGATGACAAACTAATACAGCAATTGGTAATAGAAAAGGGAAATTTTGTTCTGATAAAAATGTGAATAAGTTTTTCAAAGTCAAAGATTACTTTTTAGTTTTTAAAATTTGTTATTAGTGTGATTGTTATAGATGATTAAATTCCTTTTTGCAGAATTGGAGCATAAGCATATAACTTCTTGACCAGTTTCGATCCCTTGACATCTTGCTTGCCATCCCCCTTCTGTTATTTTTTTTTTAAAAACTTTTGATAAAGAAAGCAAGAAAATAGTAGCAAAAATTAAGTAAATTTCATGAGATGTTTAGAAAATGGGCAATAATTTGATATGTCTGGGAGTAGCATCTCTAGCTTTATGCAGAAAATGTGATCCTTGGTCAAGAAATTGAATAATCAATGTAAAAGTTCGATTGTGCAACTAAAAATAAAAAAATAGCTTTCTATTGCTGGGACAAAAATCCTTGTTATACACAATGTAATGAATGGAATGGTCTATTTGGTTCATGCTTTTGGAGGTTTCAGTGCATCACTGGCTGCTTCTGGGTTTGAACTGAGGACTGACATAGTGGGAAGACATAATTGAAAAAAATCTTTTCACTTCATGACTGCAGGGAAACAGAACAGGGGCTGAGCACCAGCAAGAGACAGGCCCTCCAAAGGCCCAGCCCCTGCTTGCTCATGTCTTCCAAGTGGGCCCCAGTCTGTTAGGCAAGAGCAGCACATTTATGGACTCACCAAGGCATTAATTTTCAAAATACCCCCGATCCAGTCATCTTCCCAAAGCCCAACCTCTAAGCACGTGAGCACTTGGAGCAAGAGTTTTAGATCTAAATCATAACATAGATGAGAAGATGGATGGATTGGCAGTTAGAAGGACACTTTTGAGGAAGTACCTTAAGCAGAGCACTTTTGGTAAAAATGGGAGTTAACTAGATAAATGAAAATTAGACCAGAAAAGCATTTTGGCAAATATTAAGTCAGAAAATAATATCTTACACGAAAAACATCTAATATGTTCAATTTTGTTATTTTTGAATAATAAGCTAAACAAAGCAATTAGGTTTAAGTCATAAGCTAATTAAGTTGTAATTAGCTTTGTACTCTGTAAAAACATGACAAATACATCATAATAAAAAAACACTTGCAAAGCAGCTGAGGCATAAGAAAGAGAACTGAAGACAGCTAGGGCTAAAATAAAATCAATAAGGGCCGACTAGATAGCTCAGCAGTCTAAGTGCCTGCTTACGCAAGTGCAGGAACTGGGGTTCGATTCCTAGGTACCACATGCTGCGCAGCCCCAAACCCAGATGCGATGAGCCAGTGATGGAGCCCAGGAGCAGTGGCGCAAGCCTGTAATTTCAGCTGCTGGGGAAGCTGAAAATATGAGGATCACTGGGAGTCTGAACTACATAGTGAGACCCTGTACAAAAAAAGAAAAAAAAAATCAGTAAAATAGTACTATAATTTTCTGGGATTTTTGTTTTGTTTTTACCTTGAAATGAATAATAACAAAAAGGGAGCCCCCTTGTACCATGTACTTCATTTTCCCCAATGCCCATATCTCGAGTAACTAGAGAGAAATATCAAACTTGCGATATGACTTTGATAGTCCATAAACCTTATTAAAATGTTACTAGTTTCATATGCATTCATTTTTTGTCATATGCATGCATGTATGTAATTATATACCATTTGATCATGTTTCTATTGCACAATCGCCACTACCTACCTCTGGGCTTTATTTATTTATTTATTTCAATTTATTATTTTTTTTTAGCAGGTATCTTTTAAAAAATGTATTTGGTACAGGGTCTCACTTTGTAGATCGGACTTGTAGTTATCCTCCTGTTTTTAGCCTCCCAAGTCCTGGGATTACAGGTGCACGCCACCACGCCCACCCTCAATCACTGACTCAGTGCACCTGGGGGCGGGGTCAGCACAGAATGCCGGGAATCAAACCCTGGCCCCTTCACCTGCCTAAATAGGCGCTTTAGTCCACTGAACAATCTGGCTGGCACCTCTGGCACCTGTTTTTAATTCTCAAAAATAATTATTAGACTATTTTGTTGCTCAGACATGTGTTTAAGAAAAGCAGTAAATTTGAAACATTTAATTGTTGATGACATTTCATACTAATGATTCTTCCCTATTGTATTTGGTTTGGGAGGGAGATTTTTAAAAATACATTACAGACCAACTCTAGTGCTAGAGTCAGATGTTCATTTCAGTATGTATGTGTATGTGTCTTAATGAAGCATTTTAACATTCTGCTATTTTACTCATATGGAAGTTTATTAATACATTAAGGATTCTGTGTCCAATGATTTGTAATAAAAAGAAAATCACACAAATATACTCACATTAGAAAATCATTTAATTCTTCATGTAGTTCAGGAACAACTTAGTGAGACTCAATTTTAAAAAATAACAATTTGCAGTACTTGAAATATGTAGATATTTCTCAGCACTTTACACTGGTTTATAGCTACTTCAGAAATTAGTATTGTCTGCACAGGAAAAGAACTGTCCAAATAAAGAAGACAGTTTGTGATGTATAATTTGAAGAAGATATTAGTTTTCTCCTTGATTTTTAGGATAAAAGGAGATATATGAAGCCAGAATGGAGAAAACATTTAATTATTTCAATTGTTTTTAATGTCAGTCCCTATTACATACCTTTTCTAAATAGCACCTTTCTAATTCTGCACACAGGACCTAAGCAGGATGTGGAAAACCTCGTGAAAGAGGTGCGAAGGACTCAGAGCTGTGGCTTGCCACCTGTTTAGCAGTTGCAGATTGCCTCTTGGTGGTGAGCAGTTGGGTTGGTCTTTGGTTCCCCTTTTGAAACAATAAACTAAAGTTGGCAGGTTGGCCCATTCTTGAAGTCAGAAGCTCAAGTAGTTTCAATGTGCCAGTGAAATGGCATTGAACCTTTGTCTTGGTCATGAGGCCAATGTCTATTTTGCAAACCTCTCTGGTCATCATGTGCTAGTGAATCCTAGGCACAAAGTAAGTGGGACATGAGAATTTGTAAATAGGTGTCCTAACAAAGAAGAATAAGATACATTAGTATTCAAACAAGAGATTAGGAATCAAATAAGTAAAGCCATGTCATGAAAAGAACATATTGGTTAATGCTTTGTGACTAAATATTTTTATGGGACAATTCATAAATTTTTGTGTCCACCTTGAGCAGAGTCCATGCTAATCTTCTCTGTACTGTTCCAGTGTTAGAATATGTGCTTCTGAAGCGAGCACTGTGGACAATCTTTGTTTCAACGAGTGTGAAAAAATTTACACATTCCAAGCTTCAGTAGACTATAATCAATCTAAGCAGAACCAGTCACATACAGGATCTCTTTAAATATTTTAAAATTTACTCTCTATTTAATAGTTGTGTATATTTGATTATGCTTAATAATTATATATAAAAGCTAAAATATTCATGTTTATTGTATGTTAGGCTTTGCTTTAGACTCTTTTTTAAATTTTATGTATGATATCTATTGTTTTGTTTCTTAAATAGTTAGAGACACTGAAGGTTACCCAGGGAATATACTAATCAGAATCAGTTAAGCTGGGATTGGGTGAATTGAGGCTTTCTAATTTTTTCCTCCCATCAAACTGCAGATGCTAATCTTATAGAATTGCAAGAAAAATATATTTCATTATGTTTTATATATCCTGTGGAATTGTAGTCTAGAAATCTATACATAAATATAGACATTAGATACATATTTATTATTTAATAATGTATATTTGTACAAACATGTGGATATGCTACTGTATGCATGCATACCAAATTAACTCACTTTTCTTATTGAAAGAGTATATAGTGAAATAAAAATTTCTTTGAAGTTAAATCCATATTTAAATAAAGAAATTCACTTTTAATCATAATTTTGAATTAAGTAATAGTGGGCTTTAAAATGCTAGAGAACTTTTGGTTACGTGCTTTAACATCTGTTTTCCCTGTTTTATGCTCTGTCCTCTAAAAAACAAGTTAATGCTTTTAAAGAAATGAAGCATTTCTATAAACAAATACGATACAAGATCTTTGACTGGATGCTGAATGAGGGAAAAAAACCATAAAGGAGATTTTAAGAACAACTGGTGAAACTCAAATATGGCTCACATACTAGGTAATGTAGCTGATAATATCGTTGGTAAGCTTCTTGGGTTTAGTAAAGGCGTCTAGGTTATGTAGAACTACTTGGTTCTTAGAAAATACATGTTGAACTACTAATGGGTGAAGCAGCCTCAACTTACAAATGATTTGAGAAAAAAATGTGTATATCTGTATATTAATAAAAGACAACACCTGCCAAGTACAAAAAGAAATGAAGCATTCCTTGGATTTTGTAATCATACCTCAGACATCTTCAGCCTCTCCTCTTTGAAGTTTTCCTTTGGGGAGAGGGTCTTGCTAATAACTTTCTTAGGTTGTGCTTGAACTTGTGAAACTTCCACCTTAGCTTCTCAGAGTGCTGAGATTATTTATCTCGGTCATAATTTAGTTTGTAAAACTACATGTCTGCGTATATATAAGTGCCTATTTCTGAATTTTATAATTCTTCACCTACAAAAGAGTCCAAGGAAGTGGCTATTAGCACCACGTTCATGAGCCATAGAATCTTTTGGATTTATTTTAAGTTAGGTTCTATTCCCAGGCAGAAAACTTCTACCTTGCTCCTTCCTTTTACCACATGCACGCTTTTGTACCACATCTATTTTTGACCCAAAACATAACAATTAAAAGACAGGCAGACACTAGAAGGTATAATTAACTGAGGAAATATTACATGTTGCTTTAAATTTGAAACCAAGCATTAAGCATGCTTCCCCTCTATGCCTGGAGTTTGCAGCCCCCAGTATAGGGAATTTGGCGATCAGTCAAAAGGCGTAGGCTATTGTCTGCTACCCTCCACCCCACGATGTCCAATCATCTCGCTTGCTTGTATCACACTGAGTGAAGAACAGCTGTCTGTGCACACATGAAAACTGCAACATAGTTAATGTATCTCAGTAATAAAACTTCCAAATTTTTAAAGTTTATTATAACATTAGAAAGGTCCATGCTTACTAATTAAATTAGAAAACATACATGTGTGTTTAAAACCAATGAATGCCTACTTCGCTGTCAGACACACATAGGTAGATTGGAATACTAGTACCAGTAGTTGCTGTTTTCCGTGACACACTGCAGAAGCACAGGTAACTTGTGATAGGATTTCTGTTTGACTAGCCATGCGGCAGGCACAAGATAGAGTTCTGATGTTACCTGCACAGTCTTCTAGAGCACCACAAAACTGAGTCACAATAGATATTGCCACAAATTGTGGTGGACCTGTGAGATAGCTTTTCCTAACAGTGGGCCATTTGTCTCTATTTTGGGTACTCCAGCCCTAATTCCATGTACTGATAAGTAGAGAGCTAGTCAGCATGATATGTTACCCCCTTAAATAGCTTTAAGCAATGCATATGGGCATTGATGTCTAACCCTTGATGCAGTGTAACAGGTCAGTGATGTTTTGCCCATAGTTCTCAATTACTAAGCATGAGCTAGGTTGAGAGATGCCTTGCTGTTGGCTGAGCCACAGGCTCAAGAAAAAGCCTGTGACATCTTAAGGCAGAGGGGCCGGACATCAAAGCTGAGGAACTGATCAAAATAAAAGGTACTTCCCCAAACTCTGTTATGCAGATTCCTCCAAACTTAGAGGCTACCTGTCATTGGAGACTGGTATTCTTTCTTCATGTGTTTTTCTCCACATTGCAGAGGTGCTGTTGTGCAGTTCACAGTACTCATGTGCTTCCCCCCATTCTCTCAATCACTCAACCCTGAGCCACACCCCTCTTCATGAATTAATAAAAGCTAGGTATTATGGTTTGTGTCTAGTTGTCTCCCCAAAGCCTCACGTAAATTATGGGGCAGACACAGCTGGAGGAGCAACAGTGGCTTGAAGGGCAGGGCCAAAGGACCAGACAGGGCCTAAGGGGCAGAGCCAGACAGGTGCAAACTGTTAAACTGGCTAGCCTGTGCTTTCTCAGAGATGTGGAGAGGGTCATCCTGGACACAGCAGCGCCCCAGCCTCTCCTCCAGTGTCTTGAGACCTCTAGTAGCTGTGAGCTAAATAAACCTTGCCTTCCCTCATTTTGAATGTCAAGTATTTGTTCCAGCAATGAGAGAAGAGTAACTAATACACTAGGTTAAGCCCTCAGTTGTGGTCTTTGTTCTAGTTAGTCACTGTTCTGACTGTATTATGGAACCACTTTGCTACCCACAATTACAGATATATTTTTGTCCCTATTCTTGCTGTGGGTTGCACTAGAATTGGAATATTGGAATTCTTTATTAGGACTCCAAAAACTTTACCCTGGGATTATAAATTTGAAACTTCACCTGATCAAGAAAAGACCAGAGAGGGCTTGTTACAAAAAAAATCACATAATAAACTTAAATGTTAAATCAGCACCCAGCTTGGCTAGAGAAATCCTGGTGCCTTGTTCACACTCCTGGGATTAGGTCACCAGGGACCAATAACCATGCAGTAGAACCTGGACTAGAACACATAGGATAGACAGGCAGGACAAGCAAGATAGAAAAGATTGAAATGTGAGCCAAAAAGTGATGTTAGGTGACCCAGTGCTGTGTTATGGAATTGAAACACACTACATCCACTCTAACAAGGGGAAACACTTTGCATAAACTCCTAATTTATAGTTGGTTCTCTGATATAACTATAGAATCTGCTATTATGATCTAAAGTACAAAATTAATAGTCTGGGAATTTTTAAATTGGGCTTGATGCTACCATCATTGTTAATTTTACTACTATAGCTAGAATATCACATTGTTTTAATTAGTTCCATCATCAAAAAAGATGGTGATGTTCCTTGTAAAACAAAACTGTTTATAAAGTTATGACATGGGAGCCGGGGAGATGGCTCAGTAAGATAAGTGCTTGACTGGCAAATGCAAGGATCTGAGTTCAATCCCCGGTTCTGCCAAAAAAAATTAAAAAATAAAAATAAATAAAGTTATGGCATGATTTTGGTGGAAGCTTGGCAGCCTGTATACTCTGGGAAGATTTGACATTCTTTAGCCCCCAGCGCACAGGTGTCAAGCCTCGGCTGGTGTCAGTCCAAGCTTTTGAGAGCTTGGAGGGACTCTGAGTAGCCTCCAGGATGCAGGATAGCTGTGATCTGTGAGCCCACTAAGTAGAGACATGGAGCTTTCCTGGCATCATTTAAGAACTTTGGCAGAATATGAGTTGTGTGCCTCTAGTAAGCTTTAACCTTCCTTAGCCCCAGTGTGTAGGTTTGGACCTTCTGCTAATGCCACTTCAAACTTTTAAGAACATGAAAGGATTCTTAATGGCCTGTGGGATACAGGAGAGCTGTAATCTGTGGGTCCAGTGAAGAGCTTCTCTAGAGCCACTTAAGAACTTTGGTAGACTTGAGGTGGCTTGCAGGATTCTATGTAAGTGATTACTGGGAGCTTCAAAAATGCCAGGTGCAAAAGGCAATCTTAATCCTGTAGCCTATCCAGAACAAATCCAGGAGAAAAAAACATACAAGATCTCGAAAACTACACACCTGAAATCTCTGAAATGATAGCAACTGAAGTAAAGAAACAAGTCTATCAAGCTATTTTTGAGAAAAATAAGATCTGTTTTTATAGAAAAACTAAGATAAATAATCTGTCAGGTGCAAAAAGAAAGGACAACCATTGTGAGAGAGTTGCTCAACAAGCTAAAGAAGACATAGACAAAACAATAGAGGAGAATAGAAAAAATGATGGAAATATCAAATGAATAATATAAGAAAGAATCAGAATGCATAAAACAGATTCAAAGAGATATCCAGGAAATTATGAACTCCATTGAAAGCTGGCAAAACTTCTTGAATGAAATTCAGGATAGACTTTCAGACCTTGAAGACAATGTTGAAGCTAATGAACACGAAATAAAAGATCTGTTAACCAACAAGGAATCAGAAAATAAGAATTTAGTACTAGAATTTAGTACTATAGTACAAATAAATGCAACACAAGAGTAACAGGTGTCAATGAAATGGCAGAAGACGGCATAAATGACATAAAAACGACTATTTGCAAAAGTACTAGCAGAAAATTTTCCAAGCATGAGAAAAGAACCAGACATACACATAAGCAAGTCATATAAAACTCCTCACAGTCATAATCACAATAAATCTATACTTGACAGATAATAATCAAGATCTCAGAAATTCAGCAAACG